ATTCTTTCGCTGCAGCTGAACTGTTGGAGCTATTTGCAAGATGCAAGGTATTGTAGTGTCCGATGGTGTGATTGTTTTATTTGGTTTGCTTACAAGCCTGTTTCCTTCGAGCTGGTTCAGATTCAAAGCAAACAGGACTGTGACGCAGGTTTGAGCAAGAAGCACAAACACAGTCATAACTGAGCTGTGATGTTTCCTGCCTGCATGTCAGCGTCTGCAGTTAAAATGTGTTGTTTTTGTACCTTTTTATTCAAATTCAGTAACACAGTCTGTGTTTCCAGCTGAGTAACTGTCTCACTAGAATCATGATATGTCAGTTCATAAAAACTTAAAACGGTCAGCAAGCCTAAATTTTGCACATTCAGGAAAGATTATCTCTGTGGCTTGACTGTATGTAATACACATACAAGAATCACAAGCTGAGGCTAGTGCTAAAGATCATTTTCATTATTGTAGGTCTAATTTTGCATATATTTGCCATATTATTATTAATATACTGTATATCCATAACACAGTGACACAGTGGTTAGCACTGTTGCCGCACAGCGAGAAGGTTCTGGGTTCGGGCCCCACCCGGGACCTTTCTGTGTGGAGTTTGCATGTTCTCCCCGTGCTTGCGTGGGTTTTCTCCGGGTGCTCCGGCTTCCTCCCACAGTCCAAAGACATGCAGCTTAGGTTGATTGGTGTCTCTAAATTGCCCATAGGAGTGTGTGTGTGTGTGTGGTTGTTATTATGCAAACCCCCCGCCCCCGTGACCCCGTTCAGGGACTAAGCGGTAAAAAATCAATGAATATTGTGATATTGATTTCAGCCACATTACCCAGCCTTTTTGTTTTCTGTTCTTCTGCTTTTTCTTTTCTGTGTCACCTTTTTTGTTTACTGCTGCAGTGATCTAATCTAAGCTTTATCTCATACACATTTCATCTTTAAGGCAGCTGGTGGTAATTGAGCGTGACTCTGGATGTGAACGTAATCTTTAGTAGTCTCTATTTACATTTACCTAATCGTGGCCTTTTGATGTGATGCTAAGGAGGGCAGGTTGTAATTTCATTCTCATTCACCGCTGCACCGCTCTTAACTCAAAAAGACTTTCTTCTTTATTTCCTTCCCTCCTTCCTGCTGCTGGCATCCCCTCAAAGTCAGGGAAGATGCTGGTCTGTTTCTCTCTGGTTGAAGGTGACTGCTCTCTCACTCACAGGCAAACACATGCAAAACATAGTTTTGTGACAGATGTGGACTCTACATCTGACATTGTTACTAGAGGAGACATGGATGCCATCATAATGTGACAGAGCTGGTGTGTGTCCATTGCAACACATGGTAAATTCCCTATTTCCAATTGAGAAGCAGCTGTTTTATCATTGCTCCAGGTTGCTGTTGTTCTCCCAGGTCAGATCATTGTCATCTCCGGCTGGTCAGTTATGGACCCTGCATGGAATTACATTTGTTTATTAGACTAACATCACATGGTTTGCGGATGTAAGTCTAATAAGTAAAGTTGTAAGACAAGTAATATTTTTTCAGTCCATCCTACATAGGCGTTATGTTCATAATGAAATGCAGTGCCATTGTTCAGTGCCGGTTGTTTGTAGTAGTTTATATATAGCAGAGTAGGGTCTTTCTTATTTTCCAAAACACATACAGCACATTTCCCACAACAGTGAGATGCTACAAAGCAATAACCAGCATAAAAGTACAACAAAAACAATCCAACTTTCTTGTGAGAGAGTTTGTGTCACAAACCTGTTACAGACATGACTTTTTAATTTTTTTTTTTTACCATAACCATAAAAAAGGATTTTAGTTGCCTAACTTAAAAGATGAGGATGGCGATATTTCATATTTTTGTTACCGTCACCAAATCACATGAAAAGGCCAAAACCAACAGCGTTCTATTCTGTCTCCACTCCGCTGACCTACTCCGTCTGTGTTTCTCAACCTCAAGCTCATTCATTCTTGCTGAAGTCAAACAGTAAATCGGTAAAACAAATAATAGATATAGTTTTTATAGCTGTTTTTTATTTACTATGACACTATTTTCCAACAGATGTTACTCAAACAGGACTAAACAGTGCATTATGTGGGATTGTGTCGGCATAAACTACAGTAAACATGTTTAATTAACATCTCGGACAAAACAAAGCACAGCTAAAAATGCCTCAATTCTTAGAGTTGTACCATCTGGATCCTGCTTTGTTTCGAAGTCCCAGACTAACCACTGGACGTGACATGCAAGAACTGTTTGTTTGGATTTTTGTTGTTACTCAGTTTGGGCTGGAGGTTTGTGACAAGATGTCAACACCCTCTAGCTATCAGTCAGGCTGGTTTATTTTTTATTTTTTATTTTTTTTAGGTGACTGTGTGGCGGTGGGTGGGTTTAACATCAGAGGAGGCCGGCAGAGGCTCAAATCTATCAGACATGTCGGACTCCTTCACAGAGGTCTAGTGACAAAAGACCAAAACATGCATTGACAGTGCATGATGTATGTCAGCACACATCATGCACTGTCAGTATAAGGCCACGCTCTCCTGGCATCGTCACAAGTGGGAATCTGGATACGCCACTAGTTTCTATTTCCCACTGTGACTGTGAGTCCAACAGTGCGTGGAGTTGAAAATCTATTTGTCTAGACACTGTTTTTACACATTTGGTAAAGGTTTCATCTTAGCCCTTTCACTACATCCACACATTAGTCCATTAAATTTACTAAATTATGTCAAGTACTCTGCTTTAGCTCAGACTTTATAGGTAATGAGGTCTTTGTTTACTTAAAGTGCTTTCTCAGTATGTCTAATGCAGAAAATGCGGCAAATAATGTGAATTCACTGCAAGCTTATATATTAAGACCATGTGTGAAGTGAACCAATAATACCGAATCCATTCACATTACACAGTTGAGGCCCAGCTGTTGGCCTGGCCTGCTCCACCAGGAAACAACATGTGATACATGAATGGATCAAGTATCCTCCTCTGTGTCTCCACTGAACAATTCACAGATCATCAAGCTGTAAATTTGGGAATTATCAGTAGTAATGTTTGTGTTTTTGTGCCTGTGTGTGAAATAGAGAGGAATGAACAGGAGGGAGATGGAAATGGCAAGAGGTGATTTTTCCCATCCCACAGAGCTAATCTAGTTTATGAGAAGTTGAAATGGGTTTGTCAGGCATACATCTCATCTTTCAGTCTATTTCTCGTTGTCCATGCCTGATGTTAGAAAACACTCACCTTAAAGACTCTTCTATCCAGCTGTAACTCTGCAGCAGTCTGCCATTGTAAGAGTGGATGACTGCAAACGAGGTGCAAACATTTAGCAGCTGAAGAGCCAAATATTTCCCTGAGGAGTAGTGGTAATCGGAGGTAAATGAGAGGGAATATTGGACTTACATTCCTCTGGTGCTTCATACCTGCTGGATGTGTAATTAAGCAACTGCTTGGTTGCCACACTGACTTAAATGGTTGTCAGTCTGCCGGTGCTGTTTGCAACATGTTTGCGCTGCTCGCATTTGACTAAAACGATTCCTTATTACTGCTTTCAGAGTCTGTGAATAGAAAAGGATTTTTTTATCCATCCAGTTACCTGATGGTGACCTCTGTGGTTTGGTTGATTGTACAGTATATACAGAGCTCTCCTTGTTAACAGAGCAGCAGTTAAACAAAAATCAGTTAGTGTAGAGCAGTTTTTAATCCTGATGGATGATTCCTCGAGGCAGGGAAACGAAGGAGCATAGTGACACACTTGGCGGAAAATCTGTTCAAATGTGTTCTGGCAACAAGATTTGATTAGTACGTTTATATATCTTTGCTCTAATAGCACAGTTGTTCTGAGCTGTGAGAATCCACAGCCCCCAAATAGCCTGTGGTTCACAAATGTAAATCAGCACCTTTAAATGAGCAAAACCACACCAAATGTCACAACGTTTGGAAACCATTGCATTAACACTAATCTCTGTGACGCTGCACCATCTGTAAATTAGATTGTCCGATAGAAATGTCGTATTGATGTGTAGTTTGTTGCAGTGGAGGAAACTGTATATTTCCAAAGTGTCAACATTCAGAAACCTAGCCAGGTGTTTTTTGGGGTTCTTCTCCCTTCTCAAGCAGCAGTGCTGCTAAGAAACTCTGTGCTATCAGGTTCTGGTTGAGCTTAAATTAGTGTATGTTCATCTGAAGAAACACTGCAGCTGACAGACTATTATTTAGCGATTAGGCACCCTGTGTAGTGGAGAGATTTCAGTGTATTTGGTTTTTCAGATCATTAGGAATAAACCTAACACACATAATGAGCGGGAATTTAGATTTGTTTGCAGTGTTTCTCCTGCTCTGAGGTCATGTTGACATTTCTTGGCGGCGTCTGTGGCACACACATATTTTATTATTCTCCTAGATACATGGGAACAGAAACATTTAGAGAGTGTGTTTGTGTCTGTGTGTGTAATCTCAGGCTGTTAAGGACACCAGTGTGTCAAAGAGCATATGTGAAGGGAATTATCTGCTTCCTCTTGTTTCCCAAGTAATCCTTTTTTCTCCATCTGAGGTTTTGAGCACACATTGGTCCCTGCTGTTCTACGAAGAGAGGGGATGTCGTCATGGCGTAACGCTGAGGTTTAGGTTTCAAAATATCTCCCAGGCTATCGAACTGTTACCATGCAACAGGCTTTCAACGTGAAACTAAGGAGCTTTTTCTCATTAGGCAAGAGGAGAGAAAAGACTAAAGGAGTGTCATTATACCCGAACTAAGATGAGCAGTATGTTAACCTCAGCTAAATAAATGTGTGAAATTCACATCATGTTGTCCTAATGTGCCGCATAACTTCTAAAAAGTAAAATGTATACAGTAAGGTTATCATATGCTTCTCCAGTGTTAAATCTTAGACTGCCCTGCATTAAAATGTTGGCTAGTAGTAGCTGGTAGTAAAGGATACTCAATTTGGACACGAGGGATCAGTAAGTCAACACTCAGTATAACTCTGGCCCTCTGTCTTTCTCTTTCTCTCCCCAGTCTCACGTTCCCAGGTGTCTCCACAGCGACAGGAGGTGCTGATGGAGAACGTGACCCGGATGTCTGAGCGCCCTCGACTGCACCAGCAGACCGTTCAGGCTGACCTGTTGGAGAACATCTGGAAACTGGAGAATCTCTTCCAGAACCACAGCAACTGGCTGCAGAGGCTGGAAATCTTCATCAAGGTATCACACAAGATTGAAAACAAGGCACAAAGCTTTTTAAAGAGCAGGGTTTTAGACTTGGAAACTGTGGCGGGACATGATTTAATAATTTTCTGTTTATGTCAATAGCATTTTTATTAACACACACCTCCAAACAAAGACACCAAAACACAAACAGAGGAATCTCTTTCCCACCTTCTGTTTCATGTAATTGACAGACAGTGGTAAACTGTTACTTCACATGGCCTTTTGTTTGTCGTTCTTCTGCACACTGTGCATCAAAACATACATAAAGTACTAAAAGTAAAAGTACTCATTACACATTAATGTATATCATAATTATTGACACGTTATGATGGAGATAAGGCGTTATGATTATACCGTATTAATATGTTCTATAACTAATGTTATAGAATGAAAGCAGTGGAGCTCATGTTCAGTTCTCTTCCATGCAGGGTCTGGAGGTGGAGCTGAGGAGCATCCAGGCTGACTCCCTTCATTCAGAGAGCTACCTGGTCCAGCTGGACGAGAGGTTGTCCTCCCTGAGTAGCTCCACCAACAGGAACCTGACTGGACTGAGTGCGGATGTGGCTCGAGCTTCAACCTGGCTTCACAACCAGGACCTCCTTCTCAGGTACACTCAGATTACAGGGAAGAGTCTTATTTCCAAAGCATGACAGTACAATTGAATCACAATAGAGGCTCACTAAATGCAGTTTGTTTGTGATTTATTTCAGGGAAACCTCAGGGCAGATGAGCGGGCTGAGAGAGAAACTGGAGGAGGTTAACTGGATGGTGGGAGCTGTCAATCACACCTTCAGCAATGACATCAGTATTCACCACTTAAAGATACAGAATTTACAGGTTGGAGGTTCATCACAGTTCACACAAAAATGTCCTGAACATCAACTTTAATTTACTGCTAAATAAATGTTTATTGCCATTTGTTGGAAGCGCAGCGCCACTGTCGCTGCTTCTGCTAACACTCCCTGTGCCCGCACTTCCGCTGCTCAGATCCAGATTAGCAACATAACAGAGGACACCAGCAGTTTATGGGTGACCCACGTCCACATGGAGGCCCAACTGAGGAACGAGATGGAGATCCTCAACACGATCACAGAGGACCTCCGGCTGAAGGACTGGGAGCACTCCATGACCCTGAAGAATCTCACCATATTAGAAGGTCAGCTAAGATAAGTGGATGTCTGTTCAAATGGCTGCTCTGACTGCTAAGTAGACCTATCTAACTTTTATTTAACCACAATGTGACTGTTCACAAAGGGGAGACTTCCATGCTTTGTTTTGGCCCTGGTATGACACAAGAAGGGTACTCAATCAATTTGAGGGTGCCCTTTTTGGCCCAAATGCTCCCTCTAAGTGCCCTTATGGTCAGCTTAAGTGGTTCTGCCACAGCAAGCATTGATTTGATGATTTGCAGGTCATAAGGCAAAGTTAAAACTTGGATAAATTGGATTGAAAAACTGCAGTTTTTTTCACACGCCAAGGTTTTATATCTATCTATATATTTGTTTTCCAAACATAATTCCAGTGACTATATTTTAATATGAAGCAAATCTTAAACACACTAATCTAAACTCCTGCACATAGTGTCATCTGGACATTATCAAAGCCTAATGCTTTTTTCCCACGGGCCCAGTTAAATAAGGCCGACCCCAGTCCTCACTGCAGGGCAAAGCCGTGCTGAGCCGTGCTGTTGTCCTGCTTGGCAGCAGTGCTGATCTGGATCTTCTCCCCGCGCTGGTTACTAACGTGAATGCTCTGTTTTTAAAAGTCAGATCACAGCTAGGTACCAATTAGGTAGCGATGGATATATCAAAGAGGAGTTGCAAAGCTCAGAAAATAGCTTATTGCAGTAGTTATATGCTGTATGTCAAACAAGATGAAAATAATAGAAAAAGAAGGAGCTTCATGGATCACAGTATCATACATGTGTGCACAATAACTACAGAACTTGAGATAAATGAGACACGGGTTGACCTTAGAACCACAAAAAGAGCTTGTTTGAGCAAATAGATGTTTGCAGCATGAATGAATGCAAGTGATCCCTGCAAACCAGTGTGATTTTACACTATGGGATTACTACACTGAGGTACTGAGCACCTCCGAATGTTCTTCCTCCGGTCTGATCAGACCTGATTAGTTCCGATGCGGTACGACTCTCACTGCCAACATATCAGTGATGCTCCTGGCTCGCTAAAATCAGAATAGGTACAATATGTCATGATGTAATGGTGGCAGGGGACACAGCCTGAGCTGAATGGGACCCCTGATCTCGTGTGTGCTTCACATGTGGGTGGCATGCCATTTCTCCTCAGCCTGGAAACAATTGTGGGTTAAATTTAGAATGAATCCAGAATGAAAATTCAACCACTCAGCTCTGTTATTACTTTTAGCTCCACAGCCCATTTGTTTATTGTTAGTTCTCAGTCACCTGAGCCAAGAAAGGCTTTACATCTCGACACGTTTGCCCCATTCTCTTCTCTCCTCTCCTCTTCTTGTGCCTCCTTTTTTATTTTGCCCTCTCTTCTTTCCTTTTTCAAGTCATTTGCTTTTGTGAGACACACTGAGCTCATGCCACATGTTATTTGTTGTATTAATCATGAAACATGACAAGTAGTTGAAAATATTGCCTGATGTCTTTTGGATGCAAAACTCTGATATTTTGTCTCAATAGGCAGTAAATTAACACACAACATGGTCCTATTTAGAGTCAAACGTGGCCCTGGGGGGGAAATGCATTAGAGGATTTTAACTACAACCTACAGTCTTTTTGCACAGAGAGAATGGGACAAAGAGGTGGCTTCTGGTTGCATGCCCACATTAATCCTGGAACTGACTAGCAATACAAAAGACATATGAATGAAAGCAACATTAAGTTACATCTACATCCACAGTGTTTCATGATTGGTTAGCCTACTGTGTCGTACGACGCGCTACTACATTTTCCTAGTTTGTCCCAGCTGTTTTTTTTGTTTGTTTGTTTGCATAACTCTCTGGATTGTAGATGAATTGGGTTCATAAACCTGTTTCTTCCAAGGCATGCTAGTGCCAGACTACAGAGACAGAAAGTAGAGAGACTGAAGAAGAAGCTGTGCAGTTGTGGAACTGTTTGAGGCGGCAGCAGGCAGATCTGCAACTCACAGCTGGTCAGCAGCTTTTCTGCATCAGAAGCCTGCACATTAAGATCATTGGATCTATGATGTAAAAGAAGCACCGGACATGTGCTGGGCAATGTCAAGCCCAAGACTTCTATGCATTCCCACAAGCTGTGTTGTGGTCCACCTTGTTTAACATGTGGTTTCCATTGTGGGCAGACCTTTCTCTCTCTCTCTCTGCTTCACTCACTATTTGGCTTTTTTTGCACTTACTCCATCCAAGTACAACAACCTTGGACCAATCGGACCTTCATTTTGGCTGCTACGCCACTCTGTGTGTGTCAATGATAAGTATAAATGTAATGACTTCTAGAGTTTCATGCATTAATAAAATCATTATCTGCACAAGTAAAGACTCAGCATGTTTCTTTCTGACATTATGGTCCCATGTGTTTCCTTTTCAAGATTCTTGCCAGCTGTAATTTGGTAACACCTTTGATAAATGCTCCAACATGTTGTAATAATGTTGACTCATTGAGGGCTGAGGCCTCACATTCTCATCTACTTTTATTTATTCCAAACAAACCCCACTTGCAGCTTTCTTTAACTCATGATTCCCACTCCAACAAAAGAGGTTTTTTTGAGAATGAGTATATATATATATATAGACTTTGTTTCAAGCCAGATTCCTAAACTGCAGCCCACCTCTTCAGTTTGTTCAATTTGAATTTTAATGTGAATTCATATTTATGGGTGTGGTGAAACGTAATGGCTTTTCAGTCTGATAATTGGACATGCTGTGAATTATTGTCTTATATTAAAGTAGAAAGTGAAAAGACAATAGTGCCGCGTTTCTATAAAGCTGCTCACCTTCACCACCTTTTGACTTTAGGGGATCATCAGTAAATCTGTGTTCACTTTTATGTTGGCAAGAATTACGTGGTGTAAAGATGGGTTCATGCCTCTAGGTCAGTGGTAAACCTGACCTGAGGGTTTTCAAATGTCTGCTAGATCAAATCAAAATGTCTGATGAACAACATGTTCCTTCTGTCCCTTTACAGTCTGTTGCTACATAATGCATTTTATAATTCCATAGAAATACAGGGTAGTGTATGTAAAAAAGTGATTTTCTATCAATGTCATTTTGTGCAGGAGCATTTGCATTATTTGCTACATATGCCTTGTGCATTATTATGTCAGTTCTCAATGATCTTGTCCTTTCTGCAGGACCTCCAGGACCAAAGGGAGAGAAGGGTGACACTGGACCATTGGGCCCCCCCGGACCCACTGGGTTAACTGGCTTTAGAGGTGGGCCCAACCAGAATAACGTTCCTTCATATTTAACTTTCATAAAAGCTGTAAATATGAAATAATTAAAAATGTCAAAGTGCAAATACTGTAATACTGATCATGTCTGGAATAGATTATCAATTAATGGGCTGCTTTAAGGTCAAAGTGTTTATTTGTCATCTGCACAGTTAGGAAACGTGTTTCCCTGTACAATGAAATTCTTACTTTGCCATCCGAATGAATGCCACACAGTACAAGTGAAATATAACGTAGATGAGCAATAACACCAATCTAAATAGGCAGTAAAATCACAAATCTAAGGCACTTTAAAGCAGCAAGTGAAGGAAGCAATTAAAAATACAACAAGAACACAATATAATGCAGAGAGAATATATGCTACATGGGAGCCATGAAGTGCAAATATTCAGCAGTGAGTGTACAATTGTGCATGTGCAAATTGAGTATGTAAACGGTACAGATGGACATGAGGTAGATCCTAAGTCAGCTGTTTAGGAGTCTGGTGGCAGAGGGAAAGAAAGTTTTTCAGTCTAGTGGTCCTGCATTTCACACTTCTGAGCCTCCGACTGGAGGGTAGGGGTATGAACAGTTCGTGCTGGGGGTGAATGGAGAGGGCTCTGTTGTGCAGCCTGCTTACTTTTTTACTGACAAAACAGAAGTTCCTCTTCGTGGATGGGATTTGTTTAGAAGTTTTAGAAAACAATGAAAACACATTGATTTTAGCTTCTTTAAAAATCTAATGTCTGTATTAAGGCACTTTGAACAGTAGCTCAGGACAAGGAGAATGCGGTGACCAGTTCTGCTGCACATAACGGCCAGGACAGCTTTTCTTTTACATCACTGTTTGTCACTGAAGCCTGTCCTCTATGTTTTTGTGTGTTCCAGGGCTCACGGGAGAAAGAGGAATCCAGGGTCCTCGGGGAATGAAAGGGTCAGCTGGGGACGAAGGTTTTCAGGGAGAAAAAGGAGATATTGGACCTGCTGGGCCCAAAGGTCTGTCTGTAGTACTTCTCAAATTAATCAGTGCATGTTCTTCATAGTATATTTCGAACATATTTAGTCAGATATTGGAGTAATTACAGTTGGCTTTTGCTCATTTCCTAAATTTCAGCACCATTTAAACCTTACTCGATCCACTGAGGAACACTCTTCTAGAACACACACGAACAAAAACAAACAGCTCATTTTACTGCACTTACCATAATGACAGATAATATAAAAATTACAATCACAAGGCAGCAGTTGAGTGAGTCACTCAGCCGCTACTCTGCAATCTTGTGCAACTCACCGCTGAATCTTGTCAACACATTCACAGCTCACATCATTTGAGACATGGAACAGAGAGCCTCATTTCTCAAATGGCTTTCACATCCTTTGTCAGAAATAAATAATTTTAAAAAATCAAGTTAAACCAAAATAAAGAATCATGGGACTCCCCATATCCTACCCACAGCATAGTTTGCTTGTAGTTGAACTACATTCATATCTGCATATTGGTTCAAGTAGTTATGTAACTTTTTGCTGGGGTTTGTGTAGTTCATTACTGAACCTACAAACAAGTTTGAGCCATAATAGGAATGATTTTTTTTTTTACCATGTTGCGTGTGAGCAGCTTTTCAGCGTTAGCATGGACATTTTCAGTGCCAGACTGAACCACCTGTTGGATAAGAAAACTGGGACACGGCTCATGTGTTATATAAATAAGGGATTCTGCTCTAAAAAGGTGCAAGCTGAAGACTTGTTTTAATTGTTAAGATTTACAAGTCGGATTTTATAAAACTGGGAAGTCAGGTCTGAGAGCAAGGGAAGATTAAATTAAGCGTGCAACAGATGGTTTGAGCAAACAGCAGAGATCCTCCCTTGCTCTCAAATCTGCTTCTGCTGTTACAAATACACACCTGAGCACTGCAAACTAAATTGCAGCTTGTTTTGTGTGCTTTCAAAACTTTTGGTGCAGACAGACTTTCACAGAAAACCCAGTGGAGAAACTGAAGAGGGCAGAATCAGAAGCAAGTACATGTATGGGTGGGATTATGCTCCCAAATCTTATTCTGTGCTTATAAATCTGTGCCTGTGCACTCTCAAATGCTGAGTTGTAAATGGAGTAGTGCTCGAAATGTGGTTCACGCACCTTCACATCTTGTGACAGGGATGTACTTCCATACTAATAATTCATATGATGCAAAATCTATTATTTTTGTCAAGAGAGCTAAATATATTATTATTCATTCAAAGCACTATTCTTCATTTCCAATACATCAGTACATCTGAGAATAATCTGCTTCAACACAGATGGATTTTGACAACTCCATTCACCCGTTTATCCAGAGCAGTCTGTATCTACATAAGCCCCTGGGGTGGCCATGCTCCCACTCTGGCATCACCAGCTGCTTAGTGCCAACGATAACACAAACACAATACACAGCTCTGTTGAAGAAGCCATGACTAATATGATAAGGTGCTGTAGGGTTTGTCTTTCTTTCTGGCATGCCATTGTCTATTTATGTGTGTTCATTCAACAGCTGTTGCCCATCAGAGTTGGGCTTGGCTGAAATGTCCAGTGTTGGAGTCCCACAATGCTTGTGTTGGCCAATAGCTCTCAAAACTTTGGACAAGGGGGATCTGTTGTCTTCTGTGTGTACACATGTAGTTGGTTGTTATGGCTCACTCAGCAACAGGCCCTATTCTAATTTTGGTGCATTTTATATAGATTGATGCCTTTTGGAATAGTCATTTTTACACAGATTGTGGTCGAGTGTTTTGACCCTTCTTCAAGGCAGCTTTTTTGATTAAAGCCCTTTTACACTGAACTTTAAAAAGCCAGCAAACTACCATTTCTGTGCTCATTTTACACAGCTGCTGGAATCCCGGTACTAGAGATGTGATGATTTTCATGACGTCTGATGGTCCGTGCACTTTGTGGCCAATTTGAAAACAAAACAAATGGGCTGTTATCTCATTTGGTTTGATATACTGTATTTATAATTGGGAATTACGGTACTGCTCACATCCAATTCCAGGTTTGTGCATCCGTTTGAGGGCAAGGCTACAGACACCAACACACACCCAAGGTGCACAGCAGAACAGACATTGCTTCCCCCAATGCCAGTGATGTATTTATATGTGTTCTCCCCTTGAGATGTGTTCCTCCTTATATCCTAACCTGAACCCAAACCTTATCCTAATCTCACATTAAAAGGTTGCTTTGTGAAGATTTGTAAATCTGCTAGCAAATAAATCCATTGCATTTCCAACGAAATTAACTGCTTTCAGGTTCAACATTTTAACCTTGACACATTAGCCTCAGACAGCTCGTATAGTGGCTAACGTGGTTAGCAGAGAACTGTTCTGCAGCGCCTTACTGGAGAGACTTATTTGTTAAGTGAACACATTTTATGTGTCAGGGCCCTGTTGTAGCTCTTTACAAGCACTGCTTGCACACAGATCTCATATGGTTGCAGCATCATGTGATTTGCACAGGAAATTAGCACAGGCAGCAATAACCACCATGGTTGAACAAACGTGAAAAGAGTGTCGCTCGCAAAAACTCTTGCACTGGCCATGTTGTTTGATTGACAAGTTAATTCTGTAAAGAACAGCTGAAAACATATAAATCTCTGTTTTTCAATAAAGATGGAGAGGAAATGAAGAAAACAAGGATCTTTGCGGATGTTTAACCATCTATACTCTGGCAGTTTACAACAATGTCTGTCTGTGCTTTCACCCATCTGGGGTCTGGTTGTGGTTTAACAAACCAGTGAAGGGTGAAGAGTTTGTCGACCTTCTGGTGTGAACGGCCCCCAGAGTCAGACAGTCGCTCAGCTGTGGAAGGAAGAGGGACATTGAAAAGCTTGTTAAAATGGCACAGGGAAGCTTTGTGTTTTTAAAAGAATTGTGGGTAGGCTGAATAGACTACATGTAAAAAAAAGCCGTGTTGGTTGAAAATATTGTCTGTTGTTTCTTTGGTGTTTAATGCCGCTTGGCCACCCGGGGTCAGAAAAACTCCATAACAGGCTGACAGACATATAGCCCTGAAATATATCACATTATAATGTGGACAGGCTAACATCAGTTCCCCATCCATCAGACACAGAGAATCTTTAGCATTTATTTGGAGTCATAGTTGGCCACCTGATGAATCTAAATGCCTAATATTCTCTCTTTTGTTTGCTCCGATTCGGTCTTCCACCGCTCTTGAGGAAAACAGGATGTTAGATGCTAGATGTTCAACTTTTGTTCATCAGCTAGATGCTAACTTTGATCCTCTGTCACTTGGGACTGTCATACAGGGGGCTTAACAGAGCCGAGAATGAACAAGTTTTATATGGAAATTATTTGTGCAGTTTCAAATCAAATACATCTGTTATTTCTTGTGGCTCAGCGGTAGGTTAGTGATGTGTTTGGGTTTTCATTGCAGTGTTATTTAGTTGTTAAGGGTGTGGTCATAACAGAGGTAACACTGACAGCTGAGGACGTCAGGCGCAGGGTGTGGTGTAGTGTTGGCTACGCTACTCACTGACACTCGCATGCAGTTACACATGGTAGGTGGGACTGGCAGCTGCCCTGTGCTCTGGGCTGTGAAACAAGGTGTCAAATATAAAAAGCTGAGTAGCTCCTCTTATAGCAAAAACAGACTTGTGGTTTCAAACCTGAAGATTATTGCCAAATGGCAGTGGAACAGATTCTCTCCTGCTTTAAATTAGACCAAAGTGATGAAATGAAATGAGTAATGAACACAACTGAGAAAGCCACGTCTAAGCTGATGATTGTAGAGCGGAGTCGTACCTTAATGTGCCATCATTCTACAGAAACCACAAATGAAAAGATTTTTACTCACAGTGACTTAGCGGTTTTGCATTAACGTTTCCACCATGTGAACATCTACACTGTAAAGAAAAATTACCTTGACTGTGGTCCTGTTAAAAGTACAAGTTACAACTTCTGTCTTCTTTCTCCTGTTTATATTTCAACCTCATTCACCCCTACTCTACAGTAGAAAATGCAGATGTTAAAACTAACAACTGGACATTGTTGATATTATTAACATCACACAAATATGACCTCACTTTTTGTTCTTTCTTCAGGTGACAGAGGAGAAAGGGGGTTGAAAGGGGAGAAGGGTGATCGAGGAGACCAAGAAGAGACAACAGGTGAGAGCTAAGCTTTGAACGATGAGTGGAATGGTCAAGAAGAAACTAGTGGCTGACTCCATTCCGCAATATGAAGGAGAAGAATATTACTCAGTCTTTTTGAGCTGCCAATAAATAGTCAGTTCTAGTCTTTACACCAATAAAACTGTGTTGGAATAATGTAACTGCTAAAAACTGATATACAAACATGCACATGTTGCCAAATATAAAATTGATTTCTAATGTTTTTGAGGGTCAGTTATACATTAAAATTATGGATTTAATGGTTCCAGTGGCATGGAGCATAAAAGCCACCTCACCCAAAGTTTTAGTCCTGCACTTTGGAATAACTTCAAAACTCATGCCACAGGGATCTAAGTGGCATGGAAGCATGTCAAGTAGGTAAACTGGTGCAAGACTATGAAGTTCTTTAAAAACCAGTAAAAGTATTTTTGAAGTCAATATGCAAACTGATGGGCAACCAATGTAAAAACGAGTGTAACGTGTTCTTCCCTTCTGTACCTGGTCGACCAGAGAGGAGAGTGTTACAGTATTATATATTACAGTACATTACAGCCTGCTGACTATACAAGTGTGTATTCATCTCTCTGTGCCACCATGAGAGAGAAATGGGGGTACTCCAGCCTTAAAGTTTAGTTCTAAGTCTAGGATGACAGGGTTTCTGGCCTGTTGGCTCAGGCCCTAGAGGATTTAATTTTCTGACTTTCCCTCTCAGCCTTTGAACACGCTGCTTTGGATGGAAACCTGACTATAGTTAAGTAATTGCAAAAAAGGTCTTAGGAAATTTTTGGATTAGAGAAACAATCCTTGATGGTTAAATGAGGATGAAGACTTCAGCAGCTTGGGTTTTACAATAATTATTGAATACAGAATAGTTGATTTATGAGCAGCTTCAAATAAAACAGGGCAAGAAGAATAAAATAACAATTTACTGTGAATATTTGGCTATATTTTAATCACATTATGTAAAAACCTACCAGTGAACTGCAACTGTAATATGAGCACATAATGTATATAATCTATGATCCAAAACCAACAGCTGGCGATAGAGAAGCAAAGATTTACAAGCTGATGACTTTATGGCCCTTATCCATCTCTGTCCCAGCTGAACCTGTGCAAGAAGCTGTGACAAGCTTAAAGGATTGGTAGAACTGATTTTCTTTTCAGCGTAATCTCAGTTTCCGACACACGATGCAGAACCACATGGTGTAGCAGACATCAAAAGGACTGGAAAACCATTATGTGAGTGCGTGCAGCACGGAGCGGAAGTATCTGGACAGTGGCACATTTTTTTGTTCTTCAGACTCTGTGTTGCACTACATTCAATGTGAAATAAAATAAGGTCAAGGTCAAAGGTCAAATTGTAATGGATACTACATTAAGTATGTTTATATAGTGTGGAAGATAAAGCCCTTTTCACACAGTGTCCAAAGTTCGGTGTTTCATAAGTAAATGGATAAATACACATAAAGTCAAACAATATCATATTATCCTGAGGAAAATCCTTTGCAGTCAGTAACTGTCTGATGTTTCTCACTCCGAGGGTGGTTCTCAAGTCTCTTATATTATCACTCCCACATTCTTGGTCGACTGAGGATACAAGCGGTGAATCCCAGCCCCCCTAATCGCATCCACATTTCCTTCACTTGTGATGCATGCAAAGACAAACTGCGAGGAGAGAGGAATGAGGAAGCATGTTTCCTCTGATCCTTCATGTGAAGTGTCCAATCGCAAACTGATTTCCCGTAAAGGGACGTGTCAATGCGTAACAGACTTCTATGAAGGATGCACTTGTGTATCCTCGGTTATAGCCTCCTCTCTCCTTGTTCCTTGCTCCTCAGAGCAGAAATAAAAGCTTTGCAGAATGACATCTGGGTCGAGCAAGGGTCGAGGACCAAGCAATGATAAAATAAGGGAATTGTGATTCATTTAAGGAAAATGACGAGTATTTGGCTGAATCTGGTCACACAGAATGCTCCTGTATTCTGTGCAGAGGTATCTCTGCAGTCACCATGCTGCTGTATGAGCTGCTGCTTTTTATCTCCACACTTTCCTCTCTTCATCATGTTGATAAAGGTTGATTTTTATTTCCTTAGTCCAAACAACTTTGCTCCAGAACCCCACTGGTTTTTTTGTGTATTTTTACAAACTACAACCTGGCCTTTCCGTTTTTGAGATTTATCAGGGGTCTGCATCTTGTGAAGAATCCTCTGAGATTCTGGAGGTTCATGAACTCTTCTCATGATCCTTGACAAGAAACATGTCCGCCTACACCCTGTAGAGTATTCCTGACTTGCTGTGCAGTCATAAAGAGTTATTTCTTCATTGTGTGACTGATTTTCTGCTAATCCACTGTACTTGAGCTCCACCTACTTTTTTATAATATGCCAAATCAAATACCTTTGATATCTCTCTGATGGGTTTTTAACTTTTTTCTGAACTTTTTTGTTTTTTATTTATTTTTTTTGACTTGCACGGCCACTCGCATTCGCAGGCTTCCTCAATGACAAGTCATTCAAAAGAAAAATATGTGTGGACCTGGGTATGATTATGAATAAGAGTTGTGACAGCTTGATGGCCACTTCTGTCCAAAAAGAGCCCCTTTCAGACACTCCCACGTCATTTGAATGAAGGTACCTGGAGCTCTCACTGAACACTTGTTACACAGAGGATCACTTATTTTACTCATAAGATGGAGCTTGCAAGGTATTCGATAGGTCTTGTGAATCAAATTAAAATGAATCTGTTGATGGTGTGGGTTATGGGAAGCAGCTTTAATGTTTCTCCAGGTGGCACCTCAGTCAAACTCTGGGTTAAGAAGATAAGGTTACTGTACCTGTGAGGTTGGGTATTATGTGTTTAACAGGCTGCATCACCCACACAGTTCTTACCTTACCTACTCAAAGCACTTTAACACTTGGCATTTTAATGTAGTATCCATTATTTCATTTCAAAATGAATGTGCTAAAGCACAGAGCCTGGAGAGCAAAGAATGTGTAACTGTCCAAATACTTACAGTCTGGACTCTGCAGTATGTCCTGTGGTGGTAAACTGAAACCTCATACAAAACCACCCAACTGGAGTCAGGTATGTAGAAAGAAAAAACATTATTGTCCCCCAAACCCCAAGAAACTTCTTTTAACTCTTCTTTTTTTGACATATCTGTTATTCTTCCTTTGTTAGATCCTCATTGCCTCTCCATGTGATGAGCAATGAAGTGGTGTTCAAGTAAAATAGAGTTGATGCCTTGGCCATCTGAATCCTGTTTGTGCCCATTACAGATCCATCAAAGATCAGTTATTTCCTCACAAGACACTGTTTGATGTTTCACAGAAAGAAAGACTGAGTGTGACCACATGCTGTTGGCTGTCAGAAATAGCAAATCATCACGTCTTGCACCTTTTTTGTCACAAACCTTATGTGGCCGACTTATAATTTGACGTGACTTGGATCTTTTAACAAGCATACTGTGCATACCTGTGTGGTCACTGGCCAGAGCAAGCAGCAGTTTCCAAGGATTTGTGTCTGTGGGAAAGTTTGTGCGCACATGTTGGGTGTTAGCAAAAAATGAACCTGCTTTTCAGGTCGTTCTCATTGAAAGTATCTTCAGTTCTGTGGTAAATGAAAGAGTACGGTGTTTCAGAGTAAGAGAAGGAGAAATGGACCCCACATTAATTTGAGAATGAGCAAAAGAACGTTCATCTGTGTAAATCAGTTCTCTTGTACCTGGACTGATGCTTCTTCAGTCACCAGAAACGCTCCTAAAGTAAATATATACAGAACGTCATCCATTTGTAGCCTCTAGTCACCCAGGCAAAATCAGTGCTTCAGATTTTTTGGCTATGTGCAGTGTTCCTGGTGTTCACTGTATCATGTTTGTCTTTGTATTTGTGTGTGCATATATATTTGTATAACATGTGAAGCCTATAAACTGCTGAACTACATATAGGTTGTTTGCAAGGGGTCCAGCAAGATGGCTGCATGAAAACGCATTATACTGAGTTCTCTGCCTTTGGTTTCATAGCAGTTCAACTCCACTGATAGTATCGGATTAACTGACGGGGTCTCCTGTATTTCGAGGGTTGATTACATGAGAAGAAGCCAGTGTCTGCTCAAAAACACTCAAATGGATAACAATTTGATCGGCTCAATTTTATATACATTTAAGCAAATTTACAGGTTAAAAACCAAACCACGGTTTTCAGAAAGGATCTTAGCTCTGCGTTGTTGATTTCTCCCCTGTAAGTTGGACATGCTATCGATTACAACTTATGTAACTTGAATTTGTACGTCCTCATGAATCCTACCACGATCCCCTGAATTCAACAGGGACAAATATAACTGTCCTACATCTCTTAGTTTGGATTTTTGTAGGATAAAGGAATGAAATATGTCCCACATTAGCAGGAGCTCCAGCAGTTTTCTTATTACAGCTCCTAAAAGACATTTCCCCATGGGTGTTTACTGTAACTTGTAACAAAACATCTAATTTGCTTTTTGTTTTTATGCCACTTTTCAGTTGACTTACTACAGAAGAGACTGGAAGTGATGTATAAGTACACAATCACTTACACACACACACACACACACAAAGCTGACAGCCTAATAGTTAACCCCCCACCCCCCACTGTAAATGTGTTGTTGTTTTTACAGTGCAACTCTGCAGCTACAGGGATCCAAATATAAATGCTTTCAGCTTTGGACTCTAATGAGAAATGTCTGTTCATCCTGGGACCCGGGCTTTTGACAACACTGTGTTATTTCATTTTTATGTGGGAGTCCACCTGAAGCCAAGTTATAAGCGCTGCCTGACGTGACCCTCCAACATCAATACTGAGGCACAGTTACTGAGAGATCTGTCATATTTATTTTCTGCTGTTTGGTTGCACTGCTGTTGAAAT